CGTCATATTCCTGCCAATTTTATAATCTATCGTAAATGATCATAAAGTCATACTATCATATGTATAATAAATATCAGTTAAAATAAGTGTTCAAAACATAGTTATACATTCAGGAAAGCACACATAATGATAGGACCGTTAAGTACTTTGTCAGGACTTAACTTATTTCTATCTGTAGATACCCCAAAGTTTTTTTCTTATTATAAGCAAGACCTTAATCAAAGCATATCCTATTTAATGTTTGAATAAAGCGCTTAATTCGTTTTTTCATGTTTGCACTTCTCTCCTAAAATTTAATATCTTTGTACATCCCTGCCTCCTAAACTGTCTTTATCTGTAGAGATCACTGACAGTATCTACTGGATTTTTTATATGTCGATATATCTTCATATCACGCAACACTTACTCACTTCACCACCTATGAAAGGACATATGTACTCTATAATACTTTTTATTAGTCAAATAATATACACCATAAAAACAAATAATTCACACATAACCGTGCTAAACAACAACTAACCAGAGTGACAACACACAATAATACAAACAAGAGTACACACAGCACACCTAATAACTACATTATGAATGATCATATACTTAGTATAGAGAAACATCATCACCAAACAACACAAACGACCAATAAAAAAAAACCACATCATGTAGATAACAACAACTCTGAAGACTTGTCTTTTCAGCTATATATTACAGAGATATATAACACTAGATAACATATATTCATAAGCACATCTCCAACCCTATGCCATACACCTACTACTTATCAGCACTCAGATATATTTACAATCTAATATACAAGCGATATCGAAAGTCAGAGGAAAAAACCGTCACAATTTAAATTACCTATATCCAGCTGAATGCAACCGTTAAGGTGCTCAAATAATAAACCTAATCTAAAGAGCTCATCAAAATACTAAATAGAAACGCAAACACACCAGAATCTATCACGAACATTGACTAAAACTGCAGAATGAGACAGATACTTCGCCTGCAACAGAGATAACTTGAAGAATGTAAAAGTACTCCATTGATTAAAGATATCTATTTCTGGATCCACGCGTTAACGTATATCAGCTCTTCGTGCGGCAATCTCATCTTTTTCTCTCTCTCTCCGTTCTCTCCAAAGGTCTTCCCATCCGCAGGCTCCATCATAAATAACCGAAAAAACTATTGCAGGATCATGGCTAATGGTGTAATGCAGCAATCAATAACACGAAACCCGCCAATACTGACCCTACAAATGACTTATAGTGAATGCAACTCTTCAAGAGCAAAGCATAAGAACACACACTCTGGAATTACCGCATAGATCAATAATATATATAGAAAGGCCAATGAAAGCGCAATCGAATCTAAAAAAAATAATACCTAATTAAAAATATCACAAAGCCTCGTATGAACTAATTAATAATCGCAACTCTAACTCAGCCACTCTTTTAACGGCCAAACAAATAGATATTATGCGACCCTACGAGAACCGTGCAGAAGACAAATATTTTTTCAACATGAACGATTCTTTAGTACATACACCCAATTGTCATAATGAACAGAAAGACACTGCAATCTACCATAAGAGCATAAAGACAACAAGCATATAGTTATTTTTCTTCACCACGGAAAACAGGAAACCCATATACACCAAGACCACAGAAAAGTGCAAATTTTTGCACGATAACCAGATCAAGCCAAATACACTTAACGTCCTTTATAGAGCACAACATATCAGCTATTATTTCAGGAAACAGATTCAGGTAACCATAGCCCTATTAGGATTCGAGATAGACATACACATCAATGTAAACTACTCATAACAACTTATGTTTTTAAGTAAACACAGATCAACCATACTATCAAAGTCCCTCTCAACATTGTAAACCCTGCCACCCCATCATTAGAAAACAACACATACTCTCTAGTTGCACTTCAGACAGCCATAACACGCCTTTGCTTGATTTAGCAACAGCTTGATTTAAGACCAAAAAATCCTAAAAATCAACTTTATAAGACTCACCCATCTCCAATCAACCATAGGCACAAAACAAAAAACTAAAACAGTTCGAAATAATCGCCGTTGCACCACACAACGTAAACCCATAAATAGAGATATACAAAAACATAAGTTCACCAAGTGTTGAGAAGAT